CGCCGGGGACATCCATCCCACCATGGTCCAGATCTGAAACCAAACTCGAGAAACCAACCCCTTCGCACGACACCTTTCCGAGCCCCCGCCGGAGGTTTCTGGTGGAGGGTTTGCTCCATCGCACCTGCGGCTGAGCAGGAGGGAGACGCGGGGCCGCCCCGGTGGGCTCCTCCGGCCGTTCACGCTCCTGGGCACCCCGGCAGGCACGGGGCCGGGGACACACGCTACCTTTCCCCGGGCGTCCCGGGCTTCACCGGGCAGGCGGCCGCACCACCAGCCGCGCCGGGGGACAGCATGACATTAAAGTAGCCTCACGGGCCCCGGCCGCCGCGCGCTCGGCACGAGGAGATCCAAACTCAGGGCCGGATGGGAAGACACCACGTCTCTCCTGCGTGCCGGGAGCGGTAGCTACAAACCGGGAGCATCCGGGGTTTGCTGTTAGTTCGTACCAAGTTCATCCTCGTCACAAACCACCGTAGTTAGGAGATCGGGGAGACGGAGAGCGCAGTGCCGCCTTTGACTCGGGGAAGAAGAAAAAGGAACTGATATTGTGTATTTCAGATATATAAATATATATAAGAGTACAGATTGACATTTATATATTTTTAACTGTGCCCGTTCCCTCCCCGCGGCGGGGCTCGCGCTCGTCCGGACGCTGCCCAGTCGGCTGCTTTCGCTTTGCTGTCGCTTGATGGAAGAGAGGACCAGGGACTGGCCGAGGAGGGGACCGGTGTGTTAAACCCGATGCTGCCAGGGCCGGGGCGAAGGCAGGCACCCGCAGAGCGTAATTACGCCGCTAGTTTCTTGAATAGAAGCAGTTGAATTTCAAAGCCTGATTCTGCGCCCGCTTTGTTCTGGGGGTTGTGGGTACAGCGAGAAGGGCTTGCCGGCCTTGCCGAGGGGATGTTGGTTTTGGAGGGGTCCCCAAAGGGGAGGCTGGTGCCAGGGCTGAGCACCTCCCGTCGGCGGCATTCGCTCCTCTCCCCTGTTGGGCCTCAGCTGGCTGTGGCAGCAGAGTACCTAACCACTGGGAACGGTGATACGGACGATACAGGAGTTTAATCCCCACCCCATCAGGCGGAAGGAAATAAAAATCCCCATCCACAGCCCGCGCTGCTCCGTCCCTGCGTTCGCAGGGCCTGGCTGCGGGCGCAAGCAGCACCCACGGGGACCCGGAGCGGTGCTGGAGAGGGGGAGAAACCCACACCCGCCCTGCCAGACGCAGCCCTCGAGGGTGTTTGTACCCTGGGATACAAGCCCGGAGGTGTGATGGGTCTTACGGCCTGGACCTGCCTCCCTCCATCCCCCACAAATAGGGGATTGTGCCCAAGGCCTGGGTTAAGCCTGGCTTAAGCCTGGCTTTGCCACAGCTGCCTCAGCGACAAGCAGATTCCCTCAGATTCCTCAGTTCCCACGGATTTCCCCCAAAAGCCTGGCCCAGACCTTCACCCCACAGCGAGGTCAGGGCTCTGCCTCCCCTCGCGGGAGCGGTAGGAAGAGGCGTGAAAGGTTAGGGCAGGGACTTACACGTAAGTCTGTCCTCTGCAAACTCATGGCTGCCCTCAGGCACAGGCGAGGCACCCAGCAGCGCCTTTTCCACTTCCCAAACACTTTTCACGGAAGAAAACACAACCACAGAATTAAAAGTGATGTGGGACAATGAAAACGCCTTTTGATGGTGCGCAGCCGGCATCAGGAGCAGATAATTCAAAAAGCCCGGGCCCCTCCAAACACGAGCGAGTGAATGCTCACCCCGCAAGCACCCCACGGGCTGTCAGCTCTTCTAAAGCAGGTTCAGCTGGGAGGCGTCAGCCTCGTGAGCAGCTCTGAATGTTAGGGGCAGGAATCGCCACCTGGAGCTACGACGCTCGAAAGCTGGAGGTTACATTTAAACGGGTTGTCCAGTTCGATCTGGACGAGGAGCTCTAATGATTACAGAAAAAAATTTTAAAAATTACAAAGTGCTTTCCCTGTGCCTTATCACACGTGGGACCGGCATAAAAATGAGACAGGAGAAAATACCATCATTCAAACCACATTATATATATTGTCATTTAAACCCCTTTCTATTCTACTAAACCGCATTATAAGGCTAAAGGAAATCAACAGAAGATTTTTTTTAAACACCACAATTTCAGTAACGTAGAACTTTTGTTAACAAGTTTTTAAAGTACTGTTACAAAACAGCAAGTTTTTAAAGATCTGATCCAGACTTGAAGCACAACGACGGGACACCAGCAAAGCTGCCCCATGCCTGAAGGGAAGGAAAGAGCCCGCGTAAAGCCACTGCTGGTGTGAAATTTTCTGGAAAGTTCAGTGTTCGTGCTTGGGGGGGGGCATTAACAGAGCCCACACGAGGGCACGGGTTGCTGCTGGCAATAACTAAACCTCACCTCTGTCCCTCAACCCCTTCCAGCTTCTAGAGGTCCTTTCCCGGCTGTAGTAAGCAGGGCACAGATTATTCCGCTTGCTCCCCTCTTTTTGAGGTGCACTGGATAAGTGCACGGTGCTGATCCACGGGGCATTGCCCCCAAAGCACCGCGATCTTGAAGTTTTAATACAGTTTTCTCATTCCAACCAATGCAGGAGGCGTTTCCTGCAACCGTGGAGTTCTGCGGCACCCGAACAAGCAAGAAGCGCAGCGCTGAGGAAAGATTACCTGCAGCGACAGACACCCGAAAGCCTCACGGAAACATTGCTCTCAGGATTCAAACTGGGCCAATTGCTCCTCGGGGGGGTTCCCAGCAGCAGTGCTGCAGTCCGCGGAAAACAACGTGCGTTTCGAGATCGCTCCCCGCAGGCGCGGGAGCTCCGGGAGGCGCGTTACTGAGGAGAGCCAGGGTGGCTTACGGTGCTCCATCCACGCTTTCTTCAGCGCTGCTGAAGGAGCGGAAGGCTTTGTGCAGGGCCACGCGGCGAAACAGGTCCGAGTGAGCTGCTGCCGTCTCTGCTAGAGATGCGGGAGCGTCCGCTGGCAGACAGAAGCGGACAGATCAGTGGGGAAAGAAAAATCATATTGCCAGCATAAAACTATTTGCTTCTCATTCTTCCCTTGTCCCCAGAGAATTTTTCACTCTCCCTCGCCGTATGTTTTTTCTTCTCATAACCCTTCTCTCTCCTTCCTAACCCTTCGTGTCCTGCAGCTCCCCCACGGGATTTGTTGGCTGCAGAAAGCACGAGCGCCTTAAGAAACACCCGCTGCTGAAGGGCGAGGACAGTAACGTGGGAGCCTCAGCCACCTAGTTGCTCTCTTAGCTCAGAAGACACTGAAGTTTGTGAGCAAAGGCAGAACTTCACCTATAAAGGGATGGCTACCGCAAGGAAAGGAGAGGGGGAACCGTTGATACAGTACACGACTCCTCCTCCAGCCTAACCGCCAGCCAAGGAGCTGGCAGAAGCAGGCCTGAGACGGCAACTGAGGGCAGAGAGAAGAGACTGTCGGTCCCAGATGCCCCGTTCAGAGCTCCATCTAGCTGCATGTTGGTCCACGTGCTCCACAGCCCAGCCAGCCAGCCGCGAGCGGGACACGGCGTGGCTGGAAACGCGGGGAGACAGACAGGCAAGTGATTCCTCAGCCCAGTCTGGCATTTGTAGTATCCGGTCAGAAAACAGTGCAGATCCAGGATCGAGCCGTGCCACAGCGTCAGGGCCGCACAAGACGCTCGGCATCGTGGTCAGCCTTTGCTGTACCAGGAGGAGGTAGCGCTGCTGATACAGAGGAGGGGGAGCCGGTGGCATCAGGGAAAGATTTTTTGGGCAGAGATCTTTGTTACGAGTATTTCACAGTATTCCCGACCCTTTCAAAGGGGTCGTAAACCTTGCTCCTGCCTCTCTTCTCTCTGCTGTTGCACTGCGGCACATGCCAGCACACCTAATAGCGCAGCAGGGGCAGTTAGGGGCCTGGCTGCACGACGCGAGACATCCCAACACCAGGCCTCAATTAGTCATTTATCTAATTGCACCGAGAGAGAGAAATTCCTGATGCTGAAAAGATCCTGCCTGATTTGCCTACAAGTAACTCCCACCCTACGGAAAGATCACGGGGCTGGGTGCCAGGTTTTCAAGGATAGGAAACGAGTCCAAGGCCGTAAGTCGACTGGAACAAACCATCACTGCGATTGAGACTGACAGCGCCCGAGTTTCTGGCTGCACTTGCTTGCCAGGCACTCCCACGCGTGCGGAGTGCACTAGCGCAGGCTGGGCTCTATCCGTGAGACTTGTGAAAACAGCACCCTGATCCTGCTGGGGCCGTACCGGAGTCTGCGCTCCGAGTAACTGCAAACTGGGAACGAGCAGCCTGTCCGTCTGAAGCGATCCAAGCTTGCACTCACACCTTTCCTTTCTCAGCCCCATCGTATTTCCCTCCCTCCAGCCACCCCATCTTGCCAGTGCTGCAAGAGATCTGTGCTCTTGTGCCAGGGATGAGTTACAACTGCTTCAAGACCCAGCACCAATTGCACACAATCTCTTCTATAATCTTTTCTCCCTCAGAAATATGACAGCTTGCTCCCTTTAGTCCCCAAACTCAACTAGAAAGAAACACCATCCATCTGCGGAACCACAGTACAGCCTGCCCACCCCACACCCCCGGGCAGACCCCCGCACCATCCACTTACGTGTGCAGGAAACGGTGACTTCAGTGGGGAGGCTGCAACAGAGATCTCCGTAAAGCAGCCTCACGTTGAACGGAAAGGTCTTGCTTTTACTTGACACGTTGTAATTAAAGACCAGCAAGTTACACAAGGAGTTCCTCTGCAAGGTTCCTTCTATCCGGTCTGAAAAGCGGTCCTGGAGGGATGAAGACATGAAAGCTAGGAAGGGAGTCCATCAGCGTGGGACTGAGAGCTCGCCCAGTGCAGTGTCCCCAGCCGCCATACCAGCCCAGCATGCCTGTACGCTCTGGGGTGGCTGTACATCGAACAAGCCTTGTGTGGGAAAGACTTAAATAAAGAAATGCTCGTGCGCACCCTTAAGCCACGTCTTCCAGCGGCTTTTTACAACATCACAGCTATTTCAGCTTAGGGACCTCCGGAGGGGAGGACAGCTTTGCGTTTGGCAGTAAATTTTAAATGAGCAAGACATTCAAGTACGTGACAATCGATGAAACGGGCAACTGAGTTTATAGTCACACGACAAATTGTGAAGTTCTAAACACCAGAACTGCGAGTGTTCCACATAAAGAAAGCTGCCCAGATTCCCCCCAGCGCTTCAGAGACTCGTAACGCCTGGTGCATCAAAGGGAAAAGGACGGGTGAACAGCATCGCTGCGGCCAGCGGTACCTGTAACTGGTCTGCCTGGTACCTCCTCCCCGCGTAAGCGTTGAGGTGGTCTGACAGGACAGACAAGAAGCGCCTGATGTCCGTCTGCAAGTACTTCTTGGCGATCTGCTCCAGGGGGATGAAGATGGGGACGGAGTGGCGGTGAATCTGCACTTCTGCCTTGGTGAGCAGGTCCAGGTGGTAGGAATCCAGGTAGGTGCCCTCGTAAGCCGTGCTGATGCAGAAACAGACTCCCCGCTTGGTCAGCTTCCCACTGATCCCTTGGGTCCCGAGAGAGGGTTTACTCAGCGCTGCTCTAACTCATCAGCGCCAGGCAGCTTTGCTGGGGCAACACAGACTGCGAGAGGGGCTGCGTCCTCTTACTACGCTAGCTCAGGGAGCTCCCTCAGAGGGTTAAAGACTTGCAAGAGTTTAGGGACATAAAACACAGCAACTTTTTAATAAGGGACCTCTAACGAATTGAAGTAGCTTAAATTCCCAGTAGCTGAGTTATGCTGCCACTTCCAAACACGGTCCCGGCTCCAGCACAACAGGGAGAACAGGCTGCCCTGGGTGGAGGAAGGCAGCGCTTCACTGCCCCAAGGAGAGCGGCAGGAGTGCTCACGGCGGGGCTCAGCACACTTGCATCAAGCAGGACTCGCATCCTCGCACTGGCCAGAACACAGAGCAAAGGTGACTCTCGCTGGAAACCAAAGTTTTTTAAAAAAAGCTCAGGGGCAGATGAAAAGAGAGTGCTGACCTCACAAGCTTGCTTGGAAGACCCAGACCCACTGGATGTTTAACTGCCTAATTCCCAAAGATTTCACTCATAAGGTAGTTATATGTTTTCCAGAATCTAGACCGTAGTTTAAATGATACAATTCAGTAAATAATAATTCCTGGAACATCCCAGAGGCCTCCTGTGAAAGGCAGGGAACTACAAGGTTACTGCTCTTCCAGCATTTTCAGACTCTAAAGGCTCTGAGCACAACAGCAGCAACGTTAACGGGGAAGTTACACTTCACACCAGGCTCATGTTCCAAAATTTAGCACCCCAGAAATGCAGCCATTGGCAGAACACACGCAAATCTCTCGAGGCATTACCTGTGAGGTAAAAGACCTGCAGCATGGCCTTAACGCTTTTTATCTTCCACTCTAAAACAGCCCGAGCACTGGGCTGTGCCGGATCCGACACGACTCCTTCTTTCCCAAGTTGCTACAAAAGCCGGAAGAGAAGAGAGGTCAGAAATCGCTGACACGAACACGTCACCCGCAGGGAACACAGTCAGGCTACAGAGAAATAATAACCCGGCTCTGAGAAAAGCGAGATGGCATTTCAAGCAGAAAAGGGGAGAAATGAAGCAGAAGAGGGGAGAAAAACTCAGGAAGAGAGTTCGGAAATGGCCACACGACCTCCAAGCAAGTAGACCCGGCAGTCCTGGACTACACGGTACTGAAAACAGGGGATGCCAGAACTATATGTCACTTAAAAAGGGAAAATAAAAAAATAATAGTTGACTCTATGTGAATAACCTCAGTAAACCCACCCCCTGAGAGCATGAGCACACCAGAGCCCTCTGCCAGATCTCTGCAGCAGGCCCTTTCTCACCCCCTTTTGCTGCAGGTCCACTTTAGCCCGCAGCTCATCCCTCTGGAGTCTCAGCTCCTGCACTCTCGCTTTCAGCCTGGCCAGCTTCTCTTCTTGCTGCTCCGTTTCCTCTTGCTTCACGGCTGCCTCATGAGCCCGTGCCTCCAGCATTTCCAGGTGAGCGAACACCCCTGCGAGGAAAAGCACGACACGCTCAAAAATCCAGGCTGTGATTATTAGTGGTCTGCACTGTGGTGCCCAAAACAAAACAGGTCCAGTGCAGATACGTAAAGAAACCACTTACAACAGCTTTTCAAAGGGGCAGAAGACAGGCAAACATCTGGCAAAGAGGCTTTTGGGAATTTGAAACAGCGAGGCTGAGTGCCAGCAGACCCTAAACAACACCGGGGTGCCCCACACCAGCTAGCTAAGCTCCTGAAAAGCAGAGTAAGCTAGCAAACGCACCAGTCCCGATCCCAAGAGATCTGCAATTCCCAGTTTTACTTCTAACCCAGCACACAGAGCAGCGAAGTGGCTTCTCTGAAGCCCCCGTACCCTAAACTGGCCGAGAGGTACTCAGGACATGACTCAGCAAGCCAGGGGGTCACTTCTGGCCCCAAGCATTTTAGGGTTCACTCCTACAGGAGGACACACTCTGCGCTTGGATGTCCCGCACCCTGCACCCCAGACAGCTCACCATCTGGTGAATACGCTTTCCCTTCCTCCATCTTCCCTCGCCACTCTCCTGCAAGCGAGAAGGCAGACCTCAGCCCTCCCTGGCCAGGCTCCGTCCCTTGGGAAGCGGCGACGTGGGGGCAGCGAGAGCTCTTCCTCAGGGGACCTTCCTCTTCCTCCTGCTGCTGCAACGGGACTCCGAGAAGCGCCGAGGGCAGGTCTAGCACCCGGGCTGGCCCCTCGCAGGAACAATCCCAGGGGCCGATGGCTGAAACGACACATTATAACCCACCGCTTTCTGTAAGCCACCATTTCACACCAGCC